AGCAGGAAGTCTCGCAGACCCCCCCCCCCCGCACCCACAAACAATACATCAATAAGCAATTAATTGATAAATAGATTAAAATGAAAGCAAACGTTCAATTTCTTCTTTAACATACACTGTATATGCTCAAGTAAAAAGTATGTGACATGTATTCTCAAATAAAAAAGTACGCTGCGTCAAAACTACTCGAGCAAGTGCAATTTATTCCAAAAGTTAATTGAGTAAATGTAACGTGTTAACTATAGCCCCTTACTACCCTTTCGCGGGAAGCATCTTCAAGGTGTTTAGAGATCAAACCAACCCAGTCAGGGTCTCCATCGGCCTAATCTGCGCTTTTTTTATTTAGGTGCTTATATCTGGCTTGTGGACGTTTTCCCTGCTTTTAATTGTCAATCAAAATTCTCAAATCACACTTTTTTTGATTTTTGGAATTTCGACCTTCATGACGTGTGTATTCGTTTTCACTGTAAAATGACTTGAGACCACATTCTAATATTTTTTTTCTTTTTACACCAGGAACTGTAAAAACAAATCCCGAAATCTTAGGTGTATACGTTTGTTCCCCGACAGTGTTTCTGAGCGGGAGGTGGCTCTGGAAGTGGCTCTGAATCTGCTGCAGCAGTACCACCTCGATCTGGACAAGTTCCTCAACTGGCTGACGGAGGCTGAGACGACATGCAATGTTCTAATCGACGCCACCAATGAAGAGAAGCTGGCTGAGCAGCCTGAGGCGGCCCGGAATCTTCTAGCACAATGGAGGGTGAGACACATCGGACAACGAACGACCGCCGAGCGGCGGGCACCATTCGCACAACTAAAAATACACGTTGGGGTTCATAAATGCAACACATTTTTTTGTGTGTGTTTTTGTTTTGTTTTGTTTTATTTTGTTTTGTTTTCCTGTGGTACACTGAAGAAATGGTTCTTTGAGTATTTAGGGTTGCTGTCCTCTGGGTTTAAACTATTTTATTACAGTCGAAACCTCGTTAGAACCTACCTCCAGGGACATAACGAATCTGTACGTTACAATGCCAGTACGTTGTAACCATTTCCAATAAAATGGCCGCCAACTGCCATCTGTAATACAGTATGAACAGTTATAGATGTAAAAACATGAACATGTAACACAGTCTAAACATGTCAATTACAAATATGTATACAAAAAAATGATTTTATAAGACTTGAAACAAACAACTGTCGCGTTCCTACAACATTTCTGAAAACATTCAGTCGGCAGATGTTAGCCGCCAAAGGCGACTGCCAGTGCCGCCGCCGAAGCCAACTGTCGTCAATTTACGTAGTCTCGGCTGAGCTCCGTTTCGAAAGTGAGAGGCAAGCGAGCTGTGCTTCCGTTTACCAGACGTGTTTTCAGAACATGAGCTCAATGACGGCGCCGCACCCCCGCGAGCTACGGCAGAAAGTACAACAATGTAGCGAGTCCATGAGTAGCGCCGTACATTTTGTTGTTTGGCGGCAGTTAGCTTCCCACGGTTCGTTGTCACAAAGGCCTTTTCGCTATTTTGTGGGAAAAATCTGGGCGTTATATTGAAGTTTACATTGTAAAGGTGTTCGTTGTTCTCACAATCGGCAAATGGAAAATGAATGACGAGAAATCGTAACTTTGAAACAGGGACATTGTAGGGGGGGTATTTGAGAGTCAAATTGTGACGTGGTCATTTGGGCTTGCAAAAATTAATTCAATCCCCAAGTTTCGATTTGGCGCGACAGGAATTCCGCCATGACATCATGTTGAAATCTGATTGGTCGATGTCAGACAATCGGGTGGGGGGGGGGGAATAAAAAAAGAGAACCCGCAGCTTTGTGGGCGTTAAAAAGTGAAAGCTCTGTTGTGCTCGAGAACAGATTTTGACCTTTGACCCTCCCACTCGCACATTCCGGCAGGCCGTCGCGCTGACACGACAAGCATGTTGTTGTCACGCAGGCATATGAGCCTCTTTTGGGAAATTATTTTCCAATGCGCGCTGGTTAAAATTCATGCCTTTGCGCACATCCTTCACGTCGCACTGGCAGCTCCTTGGGCACAACAGCAGCCCTGTATGCACTGCTGAGATAGCCTTCTGTGCCCAATTAGAATGGCGGATTGCGCCACAGCCTCACTTCCAGGGAGGCGTGCACACGCACGCACGCACGCACGCACGCGCTCGCCTCACTACTGCAGGCAGATAACATTTAATTGGAAAAGGAGTGCTTGCATCCTTTCAAGTTCTGGACTCATCATTTCCTGACTCTATATCCCCTTTTTTTTTTGTTTCCCTTCATTTCTTTGTGCTGCTTCCTTGTCCTCATCTCTCTCTCTCTCTCTCTCTCTCTCTCTCTCTCACTGTCTCTCACACACACACACACACACACACACACACACACACACACACACACACACACACACACACACACACACACATGCATGGAAACAGATGGCATTGTTTCACCCACTGGGAACTAATCTTCCTGAACGACAAGACGCAATAGATGGTGCAGCTCGTTCCTTGTTTACATGCGGGACTCCTGACTTCTTTTTTTTTTCCACAGCATGTTGCGAAGAAAGGTCTACCAGGTTCAGGTTGGCAAAGACAATCAAACTCTCTTCTCCATTGCAGCGAACTCATCGTGCAGTCCTCGTACTTTGTTTCTTGAGCTTTCCCTCAACTGCTGTTCTTCTTTTATCTTCAAAAAAATATAGATAGATTTTTTTTTCTCCTCGCTATAATCAAAGTGGTTGTCATCTGGCTTTATGGAAGTGGAACGTTTCTAAAATGGAAACCGTCACGCTGCACCTCGTCCATTTTTTTTCAGAATGTGAACATTTTAGCAACAAATGACTGGTGTCCAAAAGCATGACATTTCAACAGATTTATAGTGGAGGAACACATTGTAAGCATTTTATTGACTAATCAATTCTTTCATTGAACAACGAAAAACATGAATGTTGACTTCAGGGCTGTAACTAATGAGTATTTTAATAATCGGGTATTTCCTACGTAAATAATTTTGGAAAAAAAAAAATCAGGTTTTAATTTCCATTCCTTCTATTGGACAAAAAACTAAAAAACAGGATATTATTTTCATGGAGAGTGCATAAAATGCACAAAGCAGATTCAGTTATGGGTTTTGCCACCTCTGACCAAAATGCAGCCCAGCGGCCAAATGCACCACCCCAAAAAATTTTTTTTTTCAAATGTTGAACGAACTGTCTCTTGTGTGTCATCAGGACCTCGAGGCCGAGATCGATGGCCACACAGAGCTCTACCATTCGCTTGATGAGAAGGGCCACAGGGTCCTGAGCTCACTGGAGGACTCGGAGGATGCGGCGCTCCTCCGCAGACGGTTGAACAACATGAACCAGCGCTGGAATGATTTGCGCGGCAAGACTCTCAGCATGAGGTGAGGGGGAACAATGGGGAGATGACACAAAAAATGCACTCAGTCAGTCAACGCATGTGTGTAGTAGGGGTGACTTGGTATCTGTTTGGGCTCAAAAGGGCTCACCTGGACTCGGAAATGGCACCTTGGAAGAGGCTGCATATGTCGCTGCAGGAGCTGCTAAACTGGTTGAGGCTGAAAGCTCAGCAGCTGGAGCGGGAGATGCCCGTCGGAGGTGATGTCCCGGCTGTCCAGAACCAGTTGGACACTCACCGGGTAGGACGACCCGCATACACGTGCGCTTGGCAAAAAAAATCAGACTTGGCTCATGGTGGTGGTGGTGGTGGAGCCGTTTGCAGAGCAACATTTGAACTCAAGCTAGGCAATGGCGTTTTGTAGTTTTAAATCATCACTCAAAGTGAAGTTTTAGAGAAAAAAAAGGTGTTGGGGAAAAAAGTCATATGTGAAAGCAGATGTGTCGTGTCCCAATGAAAACAAATTATTTGGGTGGCTGTTATCATCACCTCAAAAAAGAGGACATGAAGTAAAATTACATCTGAGCGGCTCATCTCGTGCGCATCAGAAGGTGGGCGTGCTCACATTTGCCATATTTCCATCTTTTGAAGTCAATCAAAATTCAAATGTCTTTCATTTGGCCATTTCTGTAAAAACGTCATTTCCACCGCTGCAACTGGCGATTTTGCACGTGATGTTCAAGTGCTGAGCCACGCGCGTGGTGAGGTGTCATAAAAAGAGGCCAACGTTTTGGCAGACGTCATCACAAAGCCGTTAACGCCTTCAAATGATATCAGTGGTTTGCTTGATGTGAGAGATTATTGATTTACATTTTGCTCATCGTGCACATTTTAAAGCGCGTCGAAACAGTACAATAATGTGTATTTTCATCATGACTTGTTTTCATGACATCAGGAAATGGAAAATGAAGTCCTGCCGGTTCAATTAAAAGCACGTTTTATTCAAATTCATTTTTTTTTCCTCCCCCTCCAAAATATATTTTGTAATGTAGATTAGCGCGCATATCTCGTTGCAGGGCTTCAGGCGGGACGTAAGAGCCAAAGAGCCTGTTGTGACCAAGGCGCTTGAGGACGTTGGCGTCTTCCTCTCCCAAATGTCCCAAGAGCCTCCGTCACCTGAGCACCGAGGTAACCGACTCAAAAACTCATTGAACGCACGGACACCTTTCAGGCTGCATGAATTACTTTGATGTTTCTCACAAGAAAAATGATGTATTAATCATAGAGGGCATGATTGTGCAAGTTAAAAAGAAATAGCAACGTGTTGCGAGCTGACTTTAAAACAGCAGCTTCCGTTTTCGGCACAGCTTGCCCTCACTACTTTCGGTTTCTTTGCTCCCAGGCCAAAGCAACGGCGCCAGTTTGTGGTGTCTCGGTGCCCGGGAACTATGTAGGGATGAATCGCAGCGCTTCATTGAAACAAAAGCACAGTGGTACCTCTACTTAGGAACGTCTCTTCATACGAAATTTTCAAGTTACGAAACGTCTCAACAGGAAAATATTTCCTCTTGTTACGAAAAAATTTCATGAAAGGAAAAATACAGTATGGGCTGCGAGCTCGCAGCTCCGAGTTTCCTGAACGCAACATCCTTATACCTGCTCTGCCATTGGCTATGACTGTCCTAGCATCTTCCTTGCATCCCATTGGCTAAGAGGGACCTCTACCGTATGTGTAGCTAGGTAAATAGATAGATATGTGTTTAGGCAGCGTCCTTGTCCTCCTTTCTGAGGGGCTTTTACATTATAGTTATTTCTCGATGGTTGTTTTAGGGCATTGTATAAAAGCGGCCTCCTCATCTCTTAAGTGTTGGGCCCTGGCATTCACATAGCAATGGTCACATGTGGAGGCTATCAAACAAACTTTGTGGCACCATGGCAACAGCCCAGTTACTGCCAAGGTTTTATGAGCCACTGGACGTCATGGAACGAGGGAGGCCGGAATCCAGCTGTTAAGAACTGAGTCTGTGACATTTTATTCTGTGTAGCTACGGGACCTGCTCTTCTTTATTTAGCCTGCTCAAAGTCAGCAGGTGTCTTTGGTTTTTGGTTTTGATGGCATCAAACAAGTCTCAACTTTTTTTTTAATGAAAATATACCGACTTGAGCGATGTTGTTGTCCTGTCCTGGTCATCTGTGACAATGCTTTTGCTAGCTATGCGACAATGCTAACGTCTGTAAATGAGGTACAAGGTGTCTCGAGTCGCTAAAATTATGTGTAGCCAACTCTGTATTCACTGTAAAAGGCCATTTTGGCTGACACCATCGTCACAAAGAGTTCATTTTAAACATTTTTGTAAGTTGTTTTCTAAAATCCTCTTGACAGAAGATAACTTCCCTAGCCCGTGTTTGACATTGAACTATCATGACATATTCCGGATTGTTTAGCATGACCTAAATCTGATTTGAGTCCCTGTTCGTACCTCAGACATGGGTTCCGTGGAGCGCGCCCAAAATGTCGGACGACTCCTGCGTAAGGAAGCGAATGACGTGACGACCAAATGGGAGCAGCTGAATAGCAACTCTGCCGATTGGCTGAGGAGGCTGGAGCTTGCTCTGCAGCGGCTGATGGAGCTCCTGGAGGCAGAGGACCTCGTGGATGGCCAGCTGAGACAGGCGGAGATGGTCAAGGACGCTTGGGAGCCTGTCGGGGACCTTCTCATCGACTCGCTGCCCGAGCACATCCGAAGAGTCAAGGTACGCTTGTGGTTTGTCCGCACAAACCGTCGTTACCGTGAACCGTATGTAACTTCCTTGGTTTTGACACGTGTGTGGCAAAGGAGTTCCAGGAAGAGATCGCTCCCATACAGGAAGACGTAACGCACATGAACCAGTTGGCGTCCACTTTCACTCTGCCTGAAATCCAGCTGTCGCCCAACAACCTGAAATGCATTGAGGATCTCAACACACGCTGGAAATTGTTGCAGGTACTCGCCCGTGTTCCCAGAAGGGACTCTTCACATAACTGTCATTTAAGTTTGTTTGTTTTTTTGTTTTTTAATCCATATATGAGTTTGTGCTCTGGCAATTGACCCAAAGTCAGCTGGGATAGGTTCCAGCTCACCCTTGACCCTACTGAAGACGGCAATAACTAAAATGGATCGAGGGAGTGATGTTTTTTAATCCATATATGAGTTTGTGCCATGGCAATTGACCCAAAGTCATCTAGGATAGGTTCCAACTCACCCTTGACCCTAATGAAGACGGCAATAACTAAAATGGATCGAGGGAGTGGCAAAAAAAAGCGATGATGAAGGCGAGAGCGGTGATATTCTCTGGAGACTTTTGACTATGATTGCTCGCTCCATTCACCGACTGTCCCTGAGCATTTTGGCGACCGTCTCGTCGCGCTTTGCTTTACAGCACTGGTACATATGAATCTATAAATATAGTTCTGTATGTCTGTAAAACGCAATGAATACAGAGGCATTTTTGACTGGCTGTGATGATTCAAATTTTGAATTCCAGCAAAACCAGTGGCCAATAGTCGGCGGAAACTATTTGCAACATTTGTGCAATATTTCCGTCGGTTTCCGCCCTGTTGCGCATTGTGGCCTCATTCAACAGGTGGCCTGTTGTCAAACAAATCAAGACAGACCTTCGGTAACGTGTGGAATATTTTTACGATAAAACTGAAAGTGGGCTAAATGTCACGGTTTGCATGATGGTGGTGTAGTCGAAGGCAATAAAAATTGTAAAAATTGGGGCGCAAGCCAGTTTTTCAGTTCGCATCGGTGATGCTGCAATTGTGTTTGTGTGAGATACTTGTCCGTCCAAATAATTCCTCCTGCTTCAGGTTGAGGCGGCTTTCATCTGACTCCCATATGCACAGTAAAATAACGTTTGAGTGATCATTCAACAGGCTCTTGAAACATTTAAAGTGGTCATATTGGTACAGGATTTTTTTTTTGTCAGCTCCCTACTTCAACTCTTACCCCAAAGTGCTTTGATAGAGTCAAAGAGGGGGAGCAGCAGGTACACGCATGCCGAAGTCACTTTACAGAAATCATCACGGTCTTTGCTCGGAACACCGCGAAGCGGTCTGGCCTGCGCGAGCACTCACTTCCTGAGTAATTGCACCAAATTCCTTGCACTCCTTTTCATTTGTAGAATTGTAACGGGGTTGTTATGGATACGGAGGGCAAAAACAACTGGCGCACGAATGGCTTGAGTGGGGTTGGCATGAAGGTACCAAAAAAAAAAAAGAAAAAAAAATCATGGGCTTGATGTTCCCATCTTCATCGGGTCCTCATCACACATTGACTCATCCCCTCTTCCAAGCTCGGCCTGCAGATTGTTGTCGAGGAAAGACGCATCATTAGATGAGCGCTTCATTCTGGCTGGATTACATACTCCTCCTATTACGGAAACGCTGAGACATTTCTGATGATTCACTTTTTTTATTTTTTTTTAATATGTCCTTGATCAAAAATAATCAGCTTCTGCTCCAACCCGGCGGGGGCCCTCATGCATGGGAACACTATTGGGATTAGTACAGCTTCCGAAAGATATTTTGCTGGCGCTTCCCGCAAGGAACCACGGCCCTCGTGCATCAGATGACTTTGCGTCATCTCTCTTCCCATTTGAAAGGTTGAATTTCAGGAGAAATATTGCTGCAATTGGGTGCCGCGGTCAGAGTGGGTGAATAATTATGATTTTCTATGAATGCCAGCTCACTGTAGGACATAGGTCACATACGGTATCCTGCGGAATGCTGAAAACCAACAGAGACAACTCCATCTATCCATTTAAAATGTTTTTTTTTTTTTAAATGGGCTTGCAGGATTTTTGATGAGGCGTTTGTGTTTGATCTCATATGTTTTCTTTCCTTTTCGTCCCTCAGGTCTCAGTCAATGACCATCTAAAGCATCTGATGGATGCACACCGAGACTTTGGCCTCCTTCATGGTGAGTAAAACACTCTTTCTCGTAACGGTCTACTCATGGATTTTTTTTTTTTCCCGTCGTGACCGTAAATTTCAATCTGACCCTGGACTCTTGAATCGGGAGTGCCGTCAGGTATGATATGAGTTTTATATTGACTCGGAGAGGTGCACAGCCGCTCTGAGCCATCTGTCAAATGCTACTCTTCAACTAACTAAATCTTGATCGATTGGGCACCAATTGTATTTAAAGACTAAGTGTCCACTCTTGCGTAAGGGGAAGTGAAGTGCAGGAGTGGTGTGCTTCCTGCCGACTGCGACTGTCTCCTTCATTACCTTCACTGTGCTGAACTAATGTAGCTCGCGGGGGCTAATTATTGGACTCCACTCGCGCTGTTGGCGGGTCCAACATTGTCCAGCGCAGGCGTCTCCGTGAATTGCCCGAGTGTAGCCTACCAAAGCAGAATGTATTTTTCATGGGAACCACATTAGGTAGGGCAGGCTCAGCTACACCTTGAAATGTGTCAGGAATGTTACCTGCGAGGCACAATCCCCGCTGACCTCAGCCCATTTTACCACATTTTACACTTAAGCTTTACAAATCAGTTTTAGGAGTCCACTGCATGTGTTTAGACTGAAAGCTTTGCACAGCGCATACGACTGCACAAGTGGGTTCTTTCGAACAATTAAAAAGCCAGCCCTCAACACCTGTCTCTGCAGGATCTGTTGACAGCCCCTTCGAGCAGGGCGTCTCTCCAAACAACGTGCCCTACTACATGAAGTAAGTACATCGATTCCAGCAGAAAAAAAAAAAAGTTTGGGCAATTGAATCTAAATTTTCTGTTGTATTACCCCTGTTTGCTTTGCTCGCTTCTTTGTATTGCTGAGGAAATCTGTTTGCGTGCGTGCGTGCGTGCGTGCCTGCGTGCGTGCGTGCGTGTGTGTGTGTGTGTGTGTGTGTGTTGTGACAGTTATTTCTGCCCAAAACCAATTGAGCGTGAAACAAGGTTTGTGCGCAATGTAATTCATCAAATGTGCGATGAATTGCGGTGGCTGATTTGGCATGTGCAGATGCAGCGTCTAAAAGGGCAGGCGCAAACTGTCACACTAGTGTGTCGCGATAAGCGCGGTTATTGTAGTGAGGAGGAGGCATAAACGTAAAGATCAGAACAGATTTTTATTGCGTGCGTAAACTTTTTTTTTTTTTTTTTTTTTTTTATGCCAGAATAAGAATCATTGTCGTATAAAGTCTCTTCAGCGACGCAATTTTGGAGCTTCTGAATGGGGCCCGATTATGGTACTTCTTTGGCCAAATGGCGGATGTTTACCTTTTTTTTTTTTGTTTACCTTTATGTACTCTAACCTTTTACAGCATGGTGTCAAAGTCAAGGCCCGGGGGCCAGATCTGGCCCGCCATATCATTTTATGCGGCCCGCAAAAGCAAATCAAGCATGTCAAATTCCATAATGTTTTCTAAAGTCTGAACCAAAATTTCAAATTGTCATATGTATTCCACAATAACAGTCATTATTCTTGACTTCTGATTTTAAAACTAGTTGTCCATCAATTTGTTGTGCGCTGTATGTAATATGTGGATGTGATTAAACATTTATATGGTTTCCCCAAATTCATAACGGCCCTCCACGGGGTGTGTGAAAGGGTTAAATATTTATCAAATTAAATTTATCGATGAGATCATTCTATGAAACTGTCATTCAAAACAAAAAATAGAATGCAGACAAGTCAAAAAAGCCCACTTGTCTCCATCTATCGACACATGTCATAGACTGAAGTTGAAAGATTTTTCATCCTGGAAGGAGTTTCTCAAGGCTGCATTTTTTAGCCAAATTACAGTGAAAAATATGCTTTTTGAAAATATCTACTTTATTGTTGCAAAAGAAGAATCCAACCTCATAGCTCGGTGCTCTTCATTGTTCATCCATTTTCTATATTTGTCTGGAGAGTCAGGGGAATACTGGAGCCTATCCCAGCTGAATTTCTTTGAGAGACGGGCGACACCCTGAACCGGACAGTCGATTGCCAGCCAGGGAAGCAATTATTAAAAAAATAAAAAAATAAGAATAAAATAATACACATCATAAATGTGGTCTATTTAGATTTCACACTGATATGAGGGTGTGACATTTGATTTGTCATCACTTAAATTGTTGCTGTTGTGGAATTTGGATCAGATATGTGACCTTCTCACGCCCTCTATACACTTCTTTTTCTCCTAGCATATGGTTTTCACACATCTGATTTTTAAAACTTCCAAAAGAGATTTGTGCAGCCTCAACATGACTGATGAAAACAGAACATGTGTTGTACTCATGCATGTCTCCATGCTTTCTGTAGAATCACCATATTAATATCATCGCATGGTTGTTTTTTTTGTTTTGTTTTTTTCCCAAGATGTGATCCCAGAATACTTATCACCCCACTGACCCCCACCCCTCACCCTGCCTCCCATTCTGAGCTCATTTCCTGTTTCTTTGGCAAATCAGACAAGCGCCGTGCCCCATGTCATCAGCTACTTGCATCTTTTCCATGTGTCGTTTAACTGATAGATGGCCATGACTAATTCAACACTTGGGGAGAAAATCAAGGTTAAGGCAAAAAGTCGCATGGAGGAGGGAAAATGAAGTGACAGGGTTTTGTTTTGTTTTTTTTTATCTCCAAATACAGAGAAAAAGCCGGACCGGACCTGATGACCAAGACACTGTGAGTGTAACATTCCAACTCCACTCAACTGTATTTATAGAGCCCTTTAAAATAAAAAATAAAAAAAAACTCGCTGTATACAAAGTGCTGTCCATGAAGCAAAAATAATTCATACGACAACAAACAATAATAACAAAGACAGTGGAAAGCACAAAACAAACAGTAAAACAAAACAATCAAGTCTCATGCTGAGCCAAAAGCCGATGAATAAAAATAAGTTTTAAGATGAGTTTTAAAGATGGGCAGCGTTCAGCGGGAGGTCATTCCAAAGAGAGGGACCAGCAACAAAAAAGGCTGGATCGCCCTCTGAGCCTCCACTTAGTCCTTGGCGCCTCTAATCGTGCCTGGTCTGTAGACCTGAGGCCATTTCAAGATTTGAAAACAAATAATAGAAGCTTTGGAAGAACTCTAAAATATATCGGGAGCCAGTGAATGGAGTTATGTGCTCCCTCTTACCTGTCGAGAGGCGAGCAGCAGTATTTTGGACCAGCTGGAGAGGCTTCATGGAGGATTGGCCGAGATGTGACGAGGAAAACACACAACGCGGCGAAAGTGACATCATTGATTCAGAAATACACTCCCGATACATGTCTCACGCATACGAACACATCCAAACACACGACCACGAGGCAGACATCAAGTGCATATGGAAATGGGCCTGGCAAACCAGGATCTTGGTGACTGTTTGACAGCACTTCAAAGACTTTTAGATTAGGGATTGACATGTTTAATTCATGCAACCCTTTTTTTCAAATGTATATTTTTACCACTCTCGTCAACAAAAATCGTTTTGTATATCATAGAAAGTTTTTTTTTGCACCACAGCAGTATGTCGCTGGTCAAGGGGTAAATTCTCCCATTTTCACGAGACATGAGAATTCCTTCGAACATCCATCTTAAAAATATGTCACACGGTGATTGTGACATGAACTTGCGTCGTCGAGCAGGGATTTATGCGCGGCTCATCCACAGGCTGCTTTGAGGGAGCGTGTGTTTTTGCGTGATAAAATTCGTCATTCCAGAACCAACCGGATTGACCACATTCTGTCCAATCTATCGGTTCATGGAACCAATATGAATTGAACCAACAAGATTGGTATTTTATAGATTAATTTTTTTGAAACCAAACCATTTTTAAGGTGTACAATGACTATGTTGTTTGCGACCGGCACTTGAAATGCAAGTCCCATCAGCATGAAATGACTGAAAATGAAATGAAAAGGAAACGCCCCATCACAGTGGAAGAAAAAAAAAAGTCCACTGGCGTTGATCCTATTTTAAAAATGTGACGTAATGTCGACGTTCAGCCATCATTGTAATGGAGGGACACATTTTACAGCCGTTGGGGAGTCAGTGAGCGTAGATGGGACAGATGCGCCATCCCTGCCCCATCCCGGACCCCTGCCGGTCACAGTCATCGCTTGATGTCAGCGGCTATGAAATGACTCAAAATGTGCAATATGATATTTTGCCTTCGAGAGGCCTCCGGAGACCAAAAGACGCTTTTGTCTGCTGGAAATTTGTTTGCGTCACACTCTGATGTCCGCTGTCCTCACCCAGGATGCGGAGTGGACACAATTAAGTCCATGTTAGAATCTGCGCCTTTTCTGACTTAAGAGAGAAAGAGGGAGAATATGCCTGTTAGTGAGCGGCTCTGAAAATGACATTATGACATCATAGAACTACACTTGCAGTTAGCAGGATTCCATAAACGATACATAGCCAACATCCACAAACACTGGTAGGGTTGGTACAAGGGCCAACAAAGTTCATGACAGTTTGGTGAGGATTTGGATGAAGATGAGGCTGGAAAGGGGCGGATCTTCACCGAGCCTAGCTTGTACCTCTACTTACGAAATTAATCGGTTCTGGTAGGAATTTCTTAACTAGAAAATGTTGTAAGTACAGACGCGTTTTCCGTGTAAATGCCCTAATTCGTTCCAAGCCCCCCAAAATTCTGACAAATGTTTTCTAAAGTCAGCATAGTGAGCGATCGTCCGACTGGTGAATAGTTTTTCTGGATGATTCACATTTATATTGCATAGACACATATCTATCTATCTACACACACAGACTCATACGGTAGAGGTCCCTCTGAGCCAATCGGATGCCAGGAAGATGATAGGTAATAGCCAATGGCAGCGCAGCTATAAGTATGTTGCGTTCAGGAAATTCGGAGCTGCGACTAGCGGCCTATACTGTATTTTTCCCTTTCGTATCTTGAAATTTCTTTCGTAACAAGAGGCAATAATTTCCTGTTGAGGCATTTCGTAACTTGATAATTTTGTATGAAGAAACGTTCGTAAGTAGAGGTACCGCTGTTCGTCAATGTATGTCTCGCTCACATACACACTTTCCGAAGTAGGCATATCATGAAATCGTGACTTGGTTATTTAATGTCAAACTTAATGGGTGGGCAGACAACTGAGACATTTCTATGAGGTGTCCCTTTTCAATCGCTGCTGAGGAATTCATTGAAGCGCGCGCGCACGCGCACACACACACACACACACACACACACACACACACACACACACACACACACACACACGCACACACACACACACACACACGCTAACAGGTAGAAACAGGCAACCGTTGTGAGGAGATCAAAGTTGATGCTTGGCAAATAAATATCAAGGAGAGGCACTTTGCGGGGGGATTTTTTTTTTCCAAGGCGACACGGCAACAAAAGTTGTCCCCGAGCAAAACACCTCCAATCCCTTTTCATTTCACTTTTGGGCTCTGTCCCATCTCTGTGCTTCCATACATCACTTTTCCTTCTCTTTTTCTCACGGCCTCCTCCGTGTTATTTAATGTTGAAAAGCCGAGAGCTTCTTGTGAGCACCTCAGCTCCTTTCCTTTCACTGACACTGTGATGGGGGAAGGGGAGAGCCGCCAAGGCTGAGTTAAGCAGTGAGGGAAAAGGAGAGCTTGACCAGAAGTGGGATCTTGTTTTTCAAAATAAAGGCGTCGTATTAGGTCTTGCTGCGGTAGGATAAAGTTGGTACTTTTTGAAGTAGTCTACGATGTTAGAATGGTCAGTCCAATTCACATTCAAAAAATATTGCTGATTACTGATGGCTCATCCTCTTGTATGAGTAAAATGAAATACATTTTATTTGAATCCTAATTTATTTTAGGGCTACTGTAATTGCATCCATTTTGTTTAACTAATTGCTCGTTGTGTCGAATGTACTTTTTTTTAATGCATAGCAGGGTTCCGTTGGAACTGGATATATTCACTTTTTTCTCTCTCTTACTCAGAGTGGCTAAAATGGCTTTTGTAAGAGTGTTGCGGGTGTGTTGACAGGCGGGTATGTTGACAGTCACAACTTAATATGTAAATTGTTCATTAAGAGGGAAGGACGAGAGAAAATGACATTTTGGAGGTTACTCTTTGGTTTTTAAAATAACATTGGTCAACATTTGTATTGTTTTTACTTTATCAGTTAATCAGCGATGCAAGTAAGCTTCTCGATGGATTGGTTGTGGTGATTCCGAATATTCACTCATTCTTTCTCGAGCACGTCAGGTTTTCATAATAATATCCATCTATCCTCCGAACTTATCCTCAATACGCATACTTCGTAATGTTTATGAATTAAGGGTGATGTGAATATTTTTTTTCTGCTATGTAAATTACAACGCATGGAAATAAAAAAAGAGAATTCCTCAAGGAACATAAACAATAAGAAAATAAAGAAAATGTTTCAAAATCAGCATACATTCAGGGACTCATAAAGCCATTTCTGATTATAATTTGCTTTTGACCAATGTTCGACATTTGCACTCATCTTTACTCTGGCTGCAGTTAAATTTAGTCCCTGTTGACACAACAAGTGCATGTTCATGTATTTTGCTCGTAGATTATTTAAGGTTTCCTCGGAAAATACAATAATTTCGCCGCCTGGAAATGAGCACAGTCACACCTAATATGCCAACTGAAGATGCGTGAAAATAAATGGCGACCGCCAAATGCAAAAAAAAAAAAAAAAAAAAAAAAACATTGCGCATTTATTTTGGAAAGAGTTGAGCGGAAGTGTGGCCCATTTGTGTAATGTTGCACCTTGGCGCGTTTCATTCGGGAATCAAGCAGCCTCCCTGCAAAGCCACCACCAGGGCTCACACGCGGATAATCACAAGCACGGGCAAGCTCCGGCAAGGTTGTCCTGGTGCCGCTTAGACGCGGGGTCGAACCGAGGAAAGGGTTTGCGCCGATATTGGGGGGCGACATTGGGGTTGGGCTCTCTTTTGCCCGAATCGCCAGCGACAATGCGGGAGCAGCTTCGGAAGTGAGTACCGGTGACGGTTTTTATTCATTTGTGGTTCAATAATCGCGTTTTTGTGTGTGTTTTACTCCGCTGACGTTGGCTGCGAGTTTTCGCGGCGAGCACGGAGGCGCTGAGCTTCGAAACGCGTATTCTTGCAAAAATATCCGAGATTTGGCGTGTGAGTCATTTGGGAATGAGATACAAGAAGCACCGACTTAACATTTGGAACGTACGTGGCGTCAAATTGATGGGTAACCCCCCTCTTTAATATAATTGCACACCGGTGAATGGATCCAACGTCATTGGGGGAGAACACAATGCTTTTAACTTGTAATAGGCTAATAACTTCCGTAGCCGTGGTTCGGTCTTGCGGGTTTGGATACCTGGCTCGGGCATTCGCTCAGTCGGCGTCTTCCTCGTCACGTTTGTGGCCCATGTTCGACTCTGAAGAGGGTCCATTGTGCTTAAAAGCAAACACACTGCAACCGGATCTCGAGGTGTGGGCGTGCGTTTTATTTGCGCGCGCGTGACTTTGGTGGTGGTGGTGGGGGGGGGTTCGTGTTGATTTGTGCACGCGCGTCGCATCCACCTCTTCTGCAGGCTGATGCATCAGTGCGTTACATTCCTTTACACGCACGCAAGCGCCCTCCACCCCCACCGTGACAGTCAGCCTTTGGAAATGTTCGTACGTCGGCTACAATTTTAAGGTGGGATGAAACGTGCTGCGGTGTTCCGGCCGAAGACGGTGCGCGTCGTGGTGTGCGAGTGACGCTCAGCCGCAGTGTTGAGCCTCGCGCACTCCTACGGATCTCATTGTGACTAACACACACACACACACACACACACACACACACACACACACACACACACACACACGCACACACACAAAAACATGCACGCCCGCGCGTATTTCGTTGTTGCAAATAAGGGTCCTTGATGCGGGATGGGTTGGTGGCGCAGAATGTTGGCACCAGGGTGCATTCGTTCGCGAGGAGTCCAAACACAGTTGACAATGATCTATTCACCCAGTTGAACCTGAGCACTTGCTTTTGTTCATGTTTTGAATCATTTACCCATGCTCGATTTCTCTTGTTGTCTTTGCTCGCAAGCTTGTTAGTCCAGCAAAAGTTGCTTGGTGGTGTGTTCAAAAGGTCACGTACATCAGTGTTTCCTCATCATTTATTGAGGCAAGGCACATAGTTTTTAAGTTCAGTGGCTACATAGGGATCTAGTGATACATCTAGTGCAGGAGCAGTTGCCGTATTTTCCATATTATACGGCACTTTGGAGTATAAGGCGCACATTCAATGAATGGCCTATTTTAAAACTGTTTTCATATATAGGGCGCACCGCATTATAAGGCACATAGAATAGAAACTACTCTAGTGGCTGTGGTTGCGTTATGCACCCACTAAATGAAGCTACGCTAAAGGAAATACATCCATCCATCCATTTTCTGCTCCGCTTTATCCTCACAAGAGTTGTGGGAGGTGCTGGAGCCTATCCCAGCCGTCTACGGGCAGTCGGCGGGGGACACCCTGCAACAGTATCCAGTCTATTGCAGGCCACGCACAGACAAACAACCATCCGCGCTCACAATCACACCAAGAGACTATTTCGAGTGTGAACCTGCCATGACCGTTAATTGCTTTACATTTGAATTGAAGCTTCATTAACATTGCTCTACTGACCGGCACACTTGCGTCTCTTAACCTGACACTTGACATGGAATCTTTCAAAACACACACACACACACACAAGAAGGCCGCACACGGAATCGAACCCGGTACCTCTGCACTGTGATGTCGACGTGCTAACCACTCGACCACCGGGCCGCCCTCAAGGGAGTACAATACAGCTCTATTTATCACAACCTAAATTCACCTTTTTTTCCCTCTGAGTCTGTATTTTCAAGAGTTAAAAAAAAATCATTCACTACATATCAATATCAACTGATATGAAAGTTATATCATTCCTCTGAGTCTGTCTTTTCAAGAGTTAAAAAAAAAAATCATATTCACAACATATCAATATCAACTGATATGAAAGTTATATCATGATACGCTTTTTCATCACATTTTTAATCCCATCTTTCAGGCCTCCCGCGTATCATAATTGGGGTTGGGAGACTCGGAACAGAACTGAATTGGTTGCTAGCCAATTGCAGGACACGCAGGAATGTCTGAATACATTTTGGGGCCAATTGCCAGAAATTGAATGCATTTTCCACAGTACAGTTTCCGCTGGTAATACAAGTTGGTCCGTTACCATATATATCACGAGCTACTTGGATGCCATCGGACTCAAAAATAATCTGTCATCAAATGCTGCAAATATCAATGCAGACATGAAAATTGAAGGACTGGGCAATTCATGACTTCTCTTTTTAATGGCACAGACGTGCCATTTTGGCAGTAAAATAGATAGCCTGCTGTCGTCTCTTGGCAGGCAAACAATCTCGTTTTCGCAAATTTACTCCGATGCAACCCGACGGAAAATATTTCATACAGATCTGTGAGAAAATGCCTTCCACAAACCCGATGATGGATGTTTGGTTTGCAGTTTGTCCACTTAGAAGTGGCCACAACATCTTGTAATGTGAATCAGGCCTCTTCTGTATGTGGATGAAGGTCTCGTACGTATCGGAAGTCTGCTGAGTCCGAGTTTGGGTGTCTGGGCATGCGGGCTGTTTCATGTGACTACAAAACGCATTTGTTTGGAAGCCGCAACCGCTAAATTTAGCCATGAAAACAAATTTGTACACACATTGGCCAATTCGTATTAATAGCTGCGAGTCTCCGCCCTGCAACATGGGACATTGGCAAAGAAAGAGGACACACAGATGGATTTTTGAAAACCTTATTTACCTTCAACACCGGTCGGTGCTTTTTTTTCCGTCAAACAATGCCAATTGTAGCTAGTTAAACAGAATTGTCCTAGAACGTTTCTCAGTCTCCCGTTGTCACAGATCTTCACCCTGCAGCAGTACAGCCTTTGGAAACCAGTTTGTTACATATTGGGGAGACGCAGGGGACACATGGACTTATTATATACTCTATAGAAGTCCGTGAAGTGATGTCATTCCGTGGCCTGGACTTTCTGTCTTATTGTCGATTGGCAGCGATGGTGGGAGTCAGTCTCCACGCTGCAGAGATGGCTGTATTTATGGCACTTGTTCCCTTAGGCTCATTTAATTCAATTCAGGATTCTTTTTTTTTTTTTTTTTGTCTCTCAGTTGCTCCTTAAACAACCACAATGCATTTAAAGTTCCGTATTTCTCTCTTCAGGCAGCCTGACGCACGCGCAACTGCCTGATATGAATATTCAGTATGAGGATGGACTCATTTCATTGGTCCACTGTGCCCTGTTTGGTAATTTCATTGGTCAGACGTGACAAGACTACGGGTAAATTGATTGGCGTTTTGAAGCTCGTCCGTAAAACAAAATCATAAATTTACAAAAATGAGCGCCGCAGTCTTTAAAGAGTGAGGGTGGAGTAGTGGCTTGTGGTCCGAAAATTACAATACATGGGGAAAAAAGTAGGTTCCCGAATGGACATTAAATCAGAATTGAGCACTTGGACCTTTGCGTCAATCCAGCCTTAAAGTGTGAAGCAAACCTAATATCCATTCAAATCCTAAATAAGAAGTCCTGAGCTTCATAACGAGAAGCTTTCGGGTTTCTCTCAACTCATAATTGACGTCCATGAGTGAAGATGCCTTTGATTGAATCTTTTCACTCAGAGTCTGCTACCTCTTGACATTCTTGTAATTGTTCTTCCTGTCACATATAAAATGTAGAGCATCTTAGTGTGCGTGTACATTTTCTTTGAGGTTATGTCCACATGTATGGGGCCATTTTTGACAGCAACATTTCCCCCACAGTGGACTCTTGGTTTGACTGTGAGTGTAAATGGTTGTTTGTCTGTGTGCCCCTGTCTTGTTTTTTGATGAACACTTAGGCCTGTTACGCTCTTGTTTTTTTTTTTTTTAATATTAGTCATGGTAGTACTTAAAGTGCTCAGTATTTTTAATTTTTAGGTAGCACTTGGTGTAAAAAGATTGAGAGCCTCTGTAGTCTAAAAAAAAAAAAAAGCAGGGGGGGGGGGGGCAAGCTCTGGAACCCGGGAGAGCAAAGACATCCGTCAACAAAAATCATTTCTCACCTCAACTGGATGAGGACGTTGAAACCTCTTCTGCAGTTTTAAAATGTAGCGCCGACATGTTGGGCTTGTCCTTAGACTGGAACACTCTTCTTTGAAATAGTGTCGACATTAAATTTTGTTGGTTTGTTTGTTTTTGTCTTCCTCGGGAAGAACCTGAGTGAGACATCTGCTCGGGTGTGGCTGAACTGCAGGCAGCCATATTGCAACAGTGTTAGTCAGGTGTCCATGTAATGCGTCATAATTACACGTTGGGTGTTTCACGCGAATCATGCATGTGCATCATACCAATAATGAGCCGAGTGCCTGAGCTATTTTTGCGCAGGTTGTGATTTTCAAGTACCCCGGGAGCCCTCTCCTCTTTGGTTGGAGTGCAGGCGGCATGCTGCAAAAGCAGGCATGCGTATGGATTATTATTTTGAAGTGCTCTCCTGACAAAGGTTAACCGCAGCCACGCTTGTGTGCGACCGACTTCGACGTGGGCACTTTTAAAAGCTCAGCTGGAGATGTGATGAAGGGGAGGCAAAGGAAATCGAGGCATCATCATTTTATTTATTTATTTATTTTTTTATATTGCGAAAGCAAAACTGTGGTAAATGAAGTTTTGTTACGTTGTCCCCTTCCAATTATGAGAATTCTCAACTCACGAATCCTAAGCAGTGTGCTGTTGCACAGTAGTATGCTGCGAGAGATAATTAGGTGAGCTGTGGGTGATTATCCAATTTCACTTAAATGGTCGAAAAAACTGCGATTGGCTTGCAACCAGTTCAGGGTATCTCCCACCTACTGCCCGAAGACAGCTGGGATAGGCTCCAGCACCCCCCCCACGACCCTTGTGAGCATAAAGCAGATCGGGAAATGGATGGATGGGTGGATGGTTGAAGAAATATTTATTTCCTGCAAACATGTATTTATTTGTTCCATTCGCTATGCCGGTGAAATACGGTGACAGGAAGGGCAATTACAAGGTCTTCCACTAGAGGGACACAAAGAAAATTGAAGCGAGATCATTATTTCAGGATTTTTACTTTTTGTGACCTTTTTGTTGTGCCATTGTTGAGAAAAATATATTTAGTTTTTGTATGAGGACAACAGGGTAGACTTTGTTCTTTTCTTCCTGTCTGGAATGGTATATTATCACTTTGCTCAAAGACGAATCAAGATGTCTGGTATGCTCCAGATGACTTATTTTGCAACCTTTCACCCCGACCTTTTGACATTATTAAACAGAGCTGTGTGATGGATTTTTAACAGCTTTAAGCGAGTAAGGCTGCTTTAAACCAGCAAATTCTCCTCAGACTGTAATGAAGAATCTTTTTTTTTCTGTTGTGTTTCCCAATTTTCACACAGCCACCAGACCCAGACAACATGCTGGGACCATCCCAAGATGGCGGAGCTCTATCAATCGCTCTGTAAGATGCCTTTTCCTTTCTCATTTAGGGGTCTTTAGTACGAATGTTTTTTTAATTGGGGGAAAAATGTTTTGTTGTTTCAATCTTTTATTTTAATGAGAATTGCACTTTGTATGCTGAAAATACAAACATTTGTCATCTGGGGACATTTTTTAAAATAACGGTATCTTCGTGGAAATGCTGAAATCTTTGAAAAAGGCTTGTGCAAGTCGGCGTGTTGTTGCTGAACTGATCATTCTCATCAAATATTCAAAAATAAGTCTTATCATCCAGTATGCTCAAATGTAGCGTGCAACTTTTTCGTTATGTGGTGTCTCAGCCTGAACACTAGAGGGCACTGTGTGAAACAAAAACATACAATAGATAAGGGACGAAGAAGAACAGAGTCTGGGGAGGAATCTGGATGCTTTGTTTGTCTCTGTGTATTAACTACAAAACAAACTGGGCAAAAACTAAGCACAGATGTCGCGGGCGGAGTTTTTATCATTTTGAACATCGTAATTTGCAGTCGGCTAACAGAGTGTTGTGGTATTGTTATCAAAGTCTTATCAAAATCACAAAGAAAAATATCTGAGTTATTTTCATGTAAATGTACCCACAGACTTTTCTTTATAAAAAGATGGCCTGTGTGAGCATTTTTCCCCCCCAAGTGGTGCAACGCTGTCTTTTCTGACTCATGTTTCTTTTTCAGCTGACCTGAACAATGTTCGATTCTCAGCCTACCGAACAGCCATGAAACTCAGACGCCTACAAAAGGCTTTGTGCTGTGAGTGCTCTTTTTTCCGCATATATGTATTTTTTGGGGACTGTTTGTCCTGGTCAAGGTCACGGAAGGTCAGGTGCCAACTCACTTTGGGTGAGTGACAAGGTACACTGTGGACCGATCACCTGTCAATCACAGGACTGATCTGTCTTTTGCAGTGCACCACTAAAGCACGCCAAGGATTTTAGGGGTGGGGGTGAGGGAACAATCATTTTACATGATAAACATTTCAGAAGACAAAATTAGTTGTGAGAGACAATGTCATGTTTTCTCCCCTCTCATCTGTTGGTGGTAAATATCTGTCCTGTACCTGTAAATTTCAACTTGCAGACTGAATGTCTACCTGGTCTTGGGCTTTGTCTTGTTCGTCTCTTTCCGTGCTCTGTCATATCTCCATCGATCATATCTCTCATGTCTTGACCTATTGCACAGTCCTGTCCTGTCTTTTTTGTCACTTGTCCTGTTCTGTCCCCTCATCCTGTCCTCATTCGCTCTATGTTCTGTACTTTGAAGTCACGATGTTGCGCTTTATCTGTATATGTATTATTTTGTTCTTCTGTTATGATGACTTCCAAGGTGGCGCGGCAAGAGTGGCTGCCTTTACAGCAGCTCCTATACTTTTTGTTCGTCGACTTTATTGCTTTCATAACTTAGCTGCTGTAAATTGGGAATTTCTCCATTGTGAGACAAATGAAGGTTTTCTTTTTCTTATCCTTATTCTTAATGCTGGAAGCAAACTCGGTCCCCTCACAACAAGCAACATTTTGTCACAGAGTAAAAATGTCTTCTTTGAAGAGTTCTGTAGCTGTTTTTTGTCACTCCAATTTGATGTTTACTATCTAAGTAAACAAAACAAAGAATCACTAGCTGTAGTATATTTAATTTTAAAGCAACCGCAAAACTGACAGAGGCACGTCTACTAGCATCATGCTAACATGCACACTGTAAAACATCATAGACGTGCTAACGGCTAGCATAGATGATGTTGTGGCGTTACGATAGAAAGTAGTACAATGTAGGGATGGAACGGAATAATGGAATTTCTTTTCATTTCGGTGGGAAAAGATGATTTGAAATGCAATTGTTTTGAGTTGGGGGGGCGTGTTCAACATTGAATGAATTATATATACTGGACTGTTCTGTTGAGCCAAATCTGTTTGTCTTGTCTTTTCTTATCCTCACCTAACCTGTTTATTTTATTTATTTATTTTGTCGCCATGTCCTGTCCAGTCTGATCCGCCTTTACTTCCCGATACCTTTTAATTTTCCCTGGACCATTGTTGAGACTTGTTCATTTTGTTAATGGAAGAAAAATGTCAGCGTCCAAAGTTGAAATGAAATTCCCCAAAAGATGACAACCTAAATTCAAACGACAAACATAATTTGCGGTGGGAGTCATCATTGTTAGCGGCTTGTAGGATTGAATCCCCTTTGAGATGTTATTTGGAGCGCGCTACCTCATCGCTGTTCCTTTTGCCGGGTTGAAGGACGCCGGCGTTCTCACCGCCTTCTCTTTTCGTGCCAGTGGACCTGCTGAACATGCCAATGGCATGCGAAGTGTTCGACCAGCATGGCCTGAAGCAGAATGAGCAGCTGCTGGACATCTCCCAGCTGGTGGCCTGTCTGACCAGCCTGTATCAGCGGCTGGAGCAGAGTCATGCACACCTGGTCAGTGTGCCTCTGTGCGTCGACATGTGTCTCAACTGGCTACTCAACGTCTACGACACGTAGGTGCACATGGAGTTCCTCGCTTCTTTGAAGCCGTGCCAGACTTTTCAGTTTTCCCGCTTTTGTTCTTCAACAGAGGTCGCAGTGGAAAGATCCGCACGTTGTCCTTCAAAACTGGAATCGTCTCGCTCTGCAAGGCCCACCTGGAAGATAAATACAGATGTGAGTCATATTCACCTTCGAGGATCAACACGAGAAATTATTGGCTCGGAATTGCTTAGAAAGCTTGCAAATACTAAGTAATGCCAAAAAAAAAACAAAATTCTGAATGCAAATCTTTTCAGCTTTCTTCTCAATTGCCGTCACTTAAATGTGTGCAGTGTCGGTCAAAAAGATGTTGCACATCGTAAAATGCTTCCAAGGCAGACAGAATGCAATAAGTTGGTTTAAAAAAAAAATAGATATGGTGGAAACTCAACTACAGTAAACCTCATCATTGGGGGACTTTTTCCTCATTCTTTTGATGCTGAAACGGCAAGCCAATGTCATCTTCGAGCAAGCAGCACAACACGTGTCATCTGTGTTAGCACACGAGCAAAACGTCTGGGATGAAAAACTAGCTGGCGTTGGTTTGGGCTTGTACACCATCAAAGCATGTTATCGTAGTTTTGCCGATATTGAGAATTTGACAAAAAAAAAAAAAAAGCTAAATATCACTGAAAAAATAAACAGTTCTCTTAGGTATAGGCCATGGATGTGCAAGATCTTGCTTCTTCAAATCTGTTGCATCGTCATTGTTAAGGCTGTCAAAAAACCCCAAAAAAACAAGGCTTTTAGTACAGAGACAGAGTGTTTGTACTTTTTCTTTTTTTTAATTCCCACCATGGGGGAAAGGCTGCTCTAGACGCAAAATATTTGTTTGATGAAGCCCTAAAATATAGCACGAGTACTGAATTGGTCCCCCCTTTGACAGTCTTGTTCAGGCAGGTTGCGAGTGCCACCGGTTTCTGTGACCAGCGTCGCCTCGGTCTTCTCCTCCACGACTCCATTCAGATCCCACGGCAACTTGGCGAGGTGGCCTCCTTTGGCGGCTCCAACATTGAGCCCTCTGTGCGAAGCTGCTTCCAGTTTGTAAGTGCCACCCATTTGCTGAGAGTTGCTACCGTTGGTTGCCTGTCTGCAGTATTTGGGCCACAGAAAGCAAATGCAGTGCACTCGTTCTCACCGACCCACCTGTTTTATTTATATACATACAGACAAACACACATTTCCTCTCAATGTCGATATCTTTTAATATTATTTTTATATTTAATTATAATTAATTATATATAATTTTTTTTTTTTTTTTTGGTGCCGTCTCCTCTAATGTCATTCAGTATCCTCCAAATTCATTTCATATTATTCTTATCATCTAAATTCTTCTGACAGGACTCATTTTAATTAACCCTTATATGAGTTAACTTGCTTTTGTGTTTGTTTTCACATTCATATTCGTTTGTTTTCAGTCATATAAACTCTCTCTGTTGTGCATTTTTCATAAACTCTCTCTGTCGTGCATTTTTCAATCACAATATAAATCTCCTCAAGGTGATTTTCTGCCTCGCCGTCCTCCAGACTTCAAGAAATATCGCAGGTTCCTGTTTCCTGCCAAAGCCACGTCATCAGCGTGTCATCATCATCATCATCATCATCAGATGATAGCGTAGACTCTAAAATTCCTCCTTTGACCCCCGTCCAGGCTAACAATAAGCCAGAACTGGAGGCTGCCATGTTCCTGGACTGGATGCGTTTGGAACCTCAGTCCATGGTCTGGCTGCCCGTGCTGCACCGCGTGGCTGCCGCCGAGACCGCCAAACACCAGGCCAAGTGCAACATCTGCAAGGAGTGTCCCATCATCGGCTTCAGGTCGGCACAAAGTGTCTCGCGAACACGCGTGCGAGCGGACGTGGTGGCAAATTTTGGGGTGGCTCATCACTTTTGCTTCAAAAAGGGCAGTAAAGCATGAAATTACCGGTCATTTAGTTTTCACTGAAGCCTAAATTGAAACAAAATGAGACTAATGCTCTTGTCTCTGTGTATGCTTGAGTACCGGGCGTGAAGCTGTAATAGCACCCGGTGGTCTCATCGCTACACTCTTCATCATGTGCCAGCTGCCCTGTTTTTTAAGTGATGAAATGTATTCCTTTCATACCTCATTAATCTTTATTTCGGCAACAGTCAGAGAAATGGTTGGAGAGAAAATGTCACCGGTCTCCCTGTTTTGTTTCCTTGTTCGATATCATTTTAACTTTATTCCTTACACCAGTGGTCCCCAACCCCCGGGTTGCGGACTTGGTACCGGGCCGGACAGAAAGAATAAATAACTTGCATTACTTCCGTTTTGTTTATTTCGGAATCTGAAAGATGTTTTATTTTGAAAATTTACCGGATACTCTGTTACATGCGTCTACATTACAGTATGTCACTCTTAATGCAGGCACGTTTCTCGATCACGTGATTGGTTACCGCTAAAATGAAACCCAGGAGCTGGCAAAATGAGTAAAAAAAAAAAAAAAAAAAAAAAACCCAAACGTCTTTGGAAAGTTTTTTTGGGAAGGGGGAAAAGCCCAGCCAGGAGGCAGAAGCGGACGACTTCCAAGAAAAAGAATTTAAACGACAGTATCAGGAGTCCGACTTAAAATACGGATTTATCTCAATGGGAAATTCCCACACACCAAACCCACTCTGCATAATATGCAGTGATGGTGAGTCGTATTTTCCCTGCACTTTGTATTTGCAGTGTATCTTATTTTGATGGCACGTTTTAACGTTAACATAGCGACCAGAGGGAGGTTGCGGCCAGACAGGACCTTCCTCCTGTCATGATTCGTGTTTATTATGTTTAGAAAATACCATGCAGGTCATATCATATTATTTTGTTGAATTTATCCGTCCCTGAAAATATTGTCTGACATCAAACCGGTCCGTGGGGCAAAAAAGGTTGAGTACCGCTGCCTAACACCACCTACGCAGTGGACACCAGTGACGTCGGTAACGCATCACAAGCCAACACATTAGTCCAAACTGGACATTTTCCACTCATGACCAATCCAAAGTGTGACTGTTTCCAAGAAAATTAATCAGACTTCAGTGACTATGAAAATATCACAAATGGTTATTGCCCAGCCATGGTGACCTCTCGGATGTATTGTGCATGCAACCAAGCTAAGAGTTTATGAATCCTAAAATACAGGAGGACACTTGATTCCTACCACCATTTTACTTCCCAAAAGCACTCAATAATTAAGTGTGCATGACAGAACACGTAAGAAAGGGAAACTCTGGGATTTGCAGCTTGAATAGAGTTGAGGCATCGTAGCAGTCTTTCACTTCACATTCCCGTCACCGACGCATCGTGACACGTTTTCAGCGTTTGTGTCAGCTAAAAACAACAGCGCACACTGTGCTGTCAACAGAGTCTTCAGCAGCTCAAAAACACGACACCCCCCACACCCCCGCAGAATGCATTCAAGCTTCAGAGAACGTCCCAAAAGATTTTATTTTTTTGAATAGAAGTAGTTCTAAAAATCCAAAAGGTCATCTTTATTTTTAATAACAAAAAAATGTTATTCGTAAATGTCAGTTAAAAATGCACTTCCAGTCAAGTGGCGAAACTGGTGTCGTTTTTATGTAAGGCAGGTTTCACAGTATTTGCTGTAACTATTGAAGTAACTTCAGTAATTTAACTTAGTTACTTTTAAAATCAAGTCATCAATAAAGTAACTAAGTTACCTTTTCAAGGTAACTGCAGCAGCACTGGGGAACACACGTGCTAAAGGTAGCATGTCTGCATGCAAAGGCGAATTTAGCGCAGACATCTCTACTCTGTCACGTTGTGATCGTACAAAGTTGTCTCAGAATTAAAAGGATCAGACAATGATGATTTTCACAACAACAAGAAACATGAAGGGCACTTTTAATTCTTATTGGGCATTGACATTTGTTAGCCTGGCACTATCGTTAGACCAGCTATTGGCTAATCAATGTACAAGGTTTAGATTTGGAGCCTGGCCATCGATTAACAAGTCGATGTAACTTGACCCTCTCCATTTGTACCATCTTAAGTCAATATATAACAAAGTCCTTTACTGTTGCGACTGTCAGTTACTTTTAAAAGACATTTGAATGTTTGTAAGTCAAGTGAGCAAGCAACATTGTTTGTGCGGCCATTAGAATAACTGCAAAGCCATTTTTTATTCTTTGATCCAATGAAGTTGTGTGGCTGCTCTCCATCTTTCCTGAATACATTTTCATCCATTTTAACGATGAGCTTAAAGGCCAGGGAATAAATTGCTCTGGATTTTTGCTGGAAAATCTTGTAACTACTGCAGGGCCGTACGTTTGCTTATCGTCACCGGTTGAGTGTGTCTGTCTTGGTTGCTTATTGTGTCCCACCCCCCACCCCCTACACATTTTAAAATTTAATTAATTTATTTTTTGCCCTCCCCTTTGGTTCTCTCCCAATGCAGATACCGCAGTCTGAAACATTTCAACTATGACATCTGCCAAAGCTGCTTCTTCTCCGGTCGCGTCGCCAAGGGACACAAGATGCAATACCCGATGGTGGAGTACTGCACCCCGGTATGAGCGCATCTATATTCACCCTATGCAATTAAAACGTCACGCATACTGGGTGCCTGACTCTCTGAAAAATACGCCGCGCCGCTCGCTGTTCTGAAAATCCTCCTCCTACTCATGTGTGCAATTAGAAAGGCTCGGCTTTACTGATAGCACGATGCTTTTCCTTGAGGCAACAGGATATTTTCTTCCACAGGCAAGCCTTGGAAACTGAAGTCTCCCTATAATTGTTGTTAATAGCCCAATTGAAAGCAACAACCTCATTAGGACGAAGCAGTTTTCCCCAAATCTCTTCATTGCACCTTTTAAAGTTGTTTTTATTGAATGCATACTCAGAACCAAGTGTAGAAATGTAACGTAAGTCACTGAGCGCCCTTTTAGCCAGACCCCCAAAAATAGCAAAACTAAAATGGTGGAAAACAGTTTCATGCTGTATGTCCCAAAATGAGTTCGTATGGAAGCTCACGGCGTCTTTAGATTAAAGAAATAAATGGAGGAGAATAATGCTGGTTAATACTCTTGATTACAGTGTCAACTAAATCTGGATGACATTGCGGCAATGTGGTGGGGCGCTTCGTAAGTGCCCCGATCTTCTAACGAAGGCTCGGACGGATGAGTCATTATTTTTCCATCCATGATTGGGGATTTAATCCCCTTGCAGGAAAAAAAAAAAAAAATCAATATTTCAAAAATGATAAGCATCCTAAGAAAATGACTGGCTCATCCTTAGCCAGCCAGTCATTTATTTTGTTTGAGTATCTGGGAAATGAAAATGCCAATGCAATGACACACCACGTTGTTAATCATTGTTGAAAAAGCTCCTCTTCTTTTTTTTTGCATCCTAAGAAAATGACTGGCTCATCCTTAGCCAGCCAGTCATTTATTTTGTTTGAGTATCTGGGAAATGAAAATGCCAATGCAATGACACACCACGTTGTTAATCATTGTTGAAAAAGCTCCTCTTCTTTTTTTTTTTTCTTCCCCTCCAGACGACATCCGGCGAGGACGTTAGGGATTTTGCCAAGGTGCTGAAGAACAAATTCAGAACAAAGCGCTACTTTACCAAACACCCCCGTATGGGCTACCTACCTGTCCAGACCATCCTGGAAGGCGACAACATGGAAACGTGAGTCTCTTGTTTTGAAAGAACAGAGAAGAGCGGGGAGTAGCCGTTTTTCACTGAGGGATAAGAGTGTGTGCCAATGTCGTATTTTACGGCTCGCGATGTGCTATAGAATCTGTTAAGCCTTTTTGTGTTGAAAAATCCAAGTTCACAAGAAAATGCCGGCGTCCGTCTCAAGCTTTATTCCTTGAAAGAGTTCAAAGCCCGAAATAATCTTGCGAGAAAATTAGATTTCTCTCAGGCAATACACCCCTCCTTTAAACTCTTTAAGGTGGCGATGAGCACGCCGAATATAAGCCAGTGTGGGCTTCTCCTTTCTGTGGTCACACTGACGGGTCTTTTAGCAAAAGAATCATATTGCAATGTTGTCACTGCTCACATTTTAGGTCTTCTTATAGAATAGTGTCACATGTACCTGTACATCACCCGCGTGTTTTCCCGCATTCATCAAACAGGTCGTCGGGGACCCATATGGATAATGCTAATGGCTAATCACTTCCCCGTTGACTGTATTTGTATTGCATTCTGGGTAAGGGACTACTTGTCGTCAAAGACCTGTTCATACTGGTGGTCCATCCTGGAGTGACTTATCAAAAATGCCCTAAACAGAGCAATAGAGATCTGTTTGAAGTTGGAGGGGGTGGGGGGGTGAACACTTTTCAGATGTCTATATTAGGAGGCTAGCGAAAGTCAAGCCTCTCCTTTCTCAAGAGCAATTTGAAACCGTCATTCATGCCTTCGTCACGTCCCGGCTGGATTACTGTAATGTACTTCCAGTAACTTTGGAGTCAGCCAGTCCTCCATGAAGTGTCTCCAGCTGGGCCAGAATGCTGCTGCTCACCTCTTGACTGGTACTCTTAAGAGGATCACATAACTTGTACTCTAGCCTCCCTTCACTGGCTCCCCAAACATTTTTGAGTTCTTTTTAAGATGTAGTACTTGTTTTTGAAACTTGAAATGGCCTCGCTGCGCTCCGATGCCCCGCTCCGATGCCTCAGGTCTGCGGACCCGACACCATTAGTGGTGCGGAGGCTCTGAGGGGCTGGAGCCTTTTCCGTTGCCCGGCCCTCTCTTTGGAATGACCTCCCGCTGAACGTTCGGCAAGCCTCCTCGCTGCCAATTTTTAAAACTCATCTTAAAAGTCATTTTTATTGTTTGGCTTTTGACTCCGAATGAGACTTGTTGTGCTTTCTACTGTCTTCATTCTTAATGGTTTCTTGCTGTGTGAATTCTTTTTGCTCCATGCACAGCACTTTGTACACAGCGGTGGTTGTTTTAAAGTGCTCTAGAAATACACTTGAGTTGAGTTAGGTGTGCTCAGGGCAGGCTACAGGATAGCTCGATATTATACAGAAGAAAAAGACACCATACAAGTTCCACCTTTTCATCCCACAAAATATTCTCAACCTTTTGTAATTTCGTCTCTTTTTTTTTTTGGAGCAGCCTGATACCTGCCAACATTTTGATGAAGTGTGGCTGTCAAGTAATTCAGTCGTGATGGAACCCAGATGGTGACGCACACAGTGTCATTAACGTTGCATTGTCGTTTACGTTTTATAAAGATGACCGTAATCAAACCTGCAGCGGTACTAAAAGCGGTTTTCGATGAGGGGGCGTCCGTTCGCAATGACGGTGTCATTCCTTTGATGTTGACATGACTTGAATTTGTATGGAAGAGAGCCCGGAGCCTCTATCATGAACCTACTCTCATGGAATATTAAACTCATAATTCCCGTAAATATGTGCATGAAAAGCACGTCTAGGTCATGAATATAAAAAAAGTAAAGATCTCACTTTTACGTGTGGCTTGTACGGTGGGGATAGTCTCCTTTTGTATTGTATATTAATTCTCGCAATGGCAAAAATATCACATCTCTGTCCGTTGAAATATGGTTTCAACGCAGCCAATTGGTTTGTCAGTCTGCTCCCATCATGCCTTGCTGCATGACTTGAATTTGTATGGAAGAGAGCCCGGAGCCTCTATCATGAACCTACTCTCATGGAATATTAAACTCATAATTCCCGTAAATATGTGCATGAAAAGCACGTCTAGGTCATGAATATAAAAAAAGTAAAGATCGTGTGGCTTGTACGTTGGGGATAGTCTCCTTTTGTATTGTATATTAATTCTCGCAATGGCAAAAATATCACATCTCTGTCCGTTGAAATATGGTTTCAACGCAGCCAATTGGTTTGTCAGTCTGCTCCCATCATGCCTTGCTGGAGATGGTCTTCCACCACCAGCTGTCATCTCACGTTTTTGATTTTTTTTTTTTCTGTGTTGCAGCCCTATTACACTGATCAACTTCTGGCCCGTGGACCATGCGTAAGTACCTTTTCTGGGTCTGAATCTGCCACTATTGTGAATCAGCTAGATCAGTGTTTCCCGGGCATCCTGAGCTGAGGCACAACATCATTTATAGAACTTTAAAAATTGAAACAAAAAGTAAACCTACATGTTTAAAGCCGCAGTCTGTAGTCTTGAAGCTGCTCGCAAGCTTTGAACAAAGCGCAAAGAAACGCCCCCAGCTCACGAAAATGTGTGCACGGCGCTACGCTAAGGCAGCTACGCTAAGGCAGCTACGCTAAGGCAGCTACGCTAAGGCAGCTACATTGCTAGCATAACTCATTCATGACGGAGTACAGTATTGTCAAAAATGAAGTGTTACCGGTTCGACATTGTGTTTTTGGAGGAGAATGTACAATCAGTTAAAACGGAAGAGAGGCAATCAATTTACCTGATTACGTTAGCGCCGGTGATTGCAGCCAACAAACTCTAATCACCTCACACTGTACCAAGGAAGTAACTTCTCCATATGAATTTGTTGTCATAAAAGGTCGTTTCGAGTGAGATCTGAATTTTTCAAGGACAAAAAAAAAAAGGCTGCATCCTGGTTCAAGTCCTCGGAGGAGGCTGACTCTTATTTTCCGGCGCATCGTGCCGAGGCTGCTCTTCTGTGAGCTCCCGCAGCGGATGGATTCATGAGTCTCCCGGTTGCATTTCACAATGCCCCTGTCTTCTCTGTTTTTAATTTTTCCGGCAGGCCCGGCACATCCCCTCAGCTCTCGCATGACGACACACACACTCGGATCGAGCACTACGCCAACCGGTAACACACACACACACACACACACAAACACATACGCAGTCAGAAATCTGCTGGTGCGGCCAGCCTTGTGAGTCTTGCACAAGCACAAAATGGCTCCTCCAGAGAGCTCTCCGAGACCCAGAAACGTGTTGATTGATGTGGTTTGGAAGCATCATCATTTTGGAGAAATAATAAAGTGTTGCACACTTGTTCCTGCAAGGGGGATGCGCCTCCTTCCCCTCCCCCATCCCACCTATGTAGCCCACATGGGATGAGCTGCCCTGATTCTTCTGTGACGCAGTGCTTGTCCAAGTCGCAGTCCGCATCGTTTGACTTTGTGAATCTAAAAGTTGTGTCGAGGCATCTTTGAACGAGTTTTTCGGAGTTTAATTCATTCGTGGTCCCATTTGGCTGAGGGTCCTATCGGGCCACCGTGAGTCAGGATTTAACCTGACGCGCGCGCGCGCGCACACACACACACACACACACACACACACACACACACACACACACAAAAAGCGCTCAGCACGGCAAAAAGGTCAGTGGTGACTGATCAGATTAAGTGGATACAATTTGAAATATTGAATATGAAAAAAAAGCAAAAACATGTCGATTTCATCGTATTTACAACATTTGTACCGGCCCGGTCTTAAAAGAACTTCAGGTGACCTGATACGCTCATGTCGCGGACCCAGGCCACCGTAAATGTAGACCTCCGTCAGTTCCTCTTCTCTGTACTTGATTGCCATTTAAGAGTGACACCATCTTAGACCAACCGCGATCGATTCGTAACCAATGAGTCACGGCTCGAAAAGCTGTCATCGTGCCGCCATGATCGATTCATTCCAAGATGGAGACTCGGGCCGTGGTGGTAAAAGCTGCTCGCCTCACGCTGGGTGTCAGCGTGGGCTCTTTCAGCCTTGGTCAATACGCCAACTCGGACAAATCCATTTATATTGTTGTCAAGTTCGTAGCCTTCTAAAGAGAGATCGGCAAGGCCCTGAGGAACATCCACTTTCGGGTCAAACAGCGGGCCGTTCGGCAAAGTCGCTGATCAGTGCGGACCGCCCGCTATTTGCCGGGTCGCGGCCACATGCCGCGTGTTAGATCTTCAACAAAGGTCTCTTGAGAAGCAGTTCTTGGTCGCCACGGCTCGGACTCGCTATCTTCATACGCAAGCGAAACCATGCCAACTGTCACCGACGCAAATATCTTTTCATGCCGGCTTCACCGGATGCGATGCATGCACGGAAGACGGCGGCTAGAAATGGTCAAAACACGACAATGTGCAACCGCCGCAAACGTTTTGATCACATCTTCCGCAAGTTAATGAGAGCGCGTAAGAGTTCTCAACTCAACTCAACTGTATTTATAGAGCACTTTCAAACAGCCATCGCTGCATACAAAGTGCTGTACATGGAGCAAATTAACATATACAACAAACAGTAAAGCAAATCGGTAATAAAAACAGTAGAGTTGGATCAAAACATTGACCTTTACATAACGTATTTTCCACACTAAAAGGCGCACCGGATTATTAGGCGCACCTTCAATGAATGGCCTATTTTGTAATTTTTTTCATACACTGGGCGCGCCGCGTTATAAGATGCAATCTACAATGCCTCCACTAGATGGAGCTACGCTCAAGGAAACACCAACAGAACAATCAGATGTCAGTAAAACGTATTTCATAATTCTGTTGATCACCCCAATTCAAAAGAAATGTTGGATATTCACTGGTTACAGTTCCTTACATTTTTAGTCATTATTACTTTTGTCCGGTGCAAGTTATTTCTGTGGCCCACTGTGGGTTTTTATTTCATGAACTGAGGGGTACTGACAATACTGTCCATGTGTAATTGATCGTAGTTTGTATTCGATTATACTGAGGTGAGAGTCAAAAAATGGAAATAGCTTTCAAGTATGATGACAATTGAATCACTTTCTAGTTTTAGCTCCATATGTAACTCTAAATAGTAGAGGGATCTGTTACGTCTTAAGAAAGCAATTCCCGAATCCATCTGGGCTTTTTATTCTTTCCAACACGTTCCTTTTTGGCGTACGTTGCCGTTTTATTTTGTTTTCAGTACATCGTGGTTGTCAAGGGACACATGAAAATACAACTTAAAGGTCATGTTTGCAACTGACTGCTTTGTTTCTTCCACAGGTTAGCAGAAATGGAGAACCGTAATGGCTCTTATCTGAATGACAGTATCTCACCCAATGAGAGCATGTGAGAAACACTTTCTGTTTGCTTCGTTCTTTATTTTTGTCATCGCCCGCGGATCGGCTGGCTGCGCTTCCTCCTTTGCCCCGTCAGTTGGTTTTGGAACGATGGCCGTTCCTGCTTTGGCATCGTTTTGCATGGTCCTCTCAATGCATGGGCATATTACAGTTTTGGAACGATGGCCGTTCCTGCTTTGGCATCATTTTGCATGGTCCTCTCAATGCATGGGCATATTACAATTGATTTTCTTTGATGTCACTGATATTGTTTGTATGATGTGCATTCTAAAGTATGAGCCAAAATTAATTCACATGACATCTGTCATTGCGATTTGCTTTCTCGGCATTTGTTTGACTTCAGACATTTTTCTGTGAATTTTTTTAAGTGTGAAATGTTTCAAACACCTGACACCTGACCTCAAGCTCATTACTCTTCTCCATTTCCCTTTTAATGACCTATTAACAAACGATTCATCGTTGAGTTCAATTTGAACTTTGTCCCATCCCCACTAGTGAAAAATGGGAATATGTGATTAAAAAAAATAATAATAATTTTTTTTTCTATATATTTTTTTTTGTACAGAAAGTTGGAAAGATTTTTTTCTTCCCCCTCCCCCTCAGGGTATCTGAAAATGTGGCTCAGTTACCATTGCTCTGAAGCCTGTATGTGTTGACAAAGTGCTCTGCAATCCTCCAAATAGATGAGGGGTCCTTTTTTTTTTTTTTTTTTTTTTTTGT